GCGACGAGTCTGGTCTCCACTCCGGAGGATCGTTTGAATGAGTTCGTCAAGAAGCTACGGCCGGACTTGAGGCCGTACGCCGCACTGATCACGACGACAGATTTTAATGCGGCGTATGATTTGATTGTGAAGACGGAAAAGAGCTTGGACGATTTGCAGGCAACCAAGAAAGAGGATCGAGCGACGAAAGACCCGCGACCCGCGGCCAGCACCGGGCCGAGCGGGAAGAGTTTTGGATTCGGGGGAAAGAGGTACGAGAAGGGTTCTTCGAGTGCGCCGCCGCCTAAGAGGAGTAAGTCGAGGCCGTCTCCGTCGGCTGCCGCTAGCAACTCGAACAGAACGAGGAGCCACCCGCAATGTGTACATTGTGGTAGGCATCACCCGGGCGAGTGTTGGCTCGCCCAAGGCTTATGTTTGGGTTGTGGCCAGCCAGGGCATTTCAGGAGGCATTGCCCGACAAACCCTAGCAGCGAGCCTGTTTTACCTAGAGCTCCGGATCAGCCAGCCGCATCACATCCAACACGAAGTCAGCAGTCTACGGCCGCAAATAATCAGCAGAGAGCACGTCCGCAGCAGTCAGGCCGGGCACCAGCCCGTACCTACGCCATGCATGGGCGAACAGATCCTAGTCCCGATGTTATCTTGGGTACGTTCATACTATTTGATTCGGTTATGCATGCCTTGATCGATCCGGGTTCTACGCTCTCCTATATCTGTGTTGGCGTGCCTGCTAATTCTGCGATTGTGAGGAGTGACCTTGAGATACCTACCATTGTATCGAATCCGCTAGGACATAGCATGCGTCTTCATCACATCTATCATAGGTGTCCGTTGTCCGCGCAAGGGAAGCAATTCCCTGCAGATTTGATAGAGCTACCACACAAGGAGTTTGACATTATCCTTGGTATGGATTGGCTCACCGAGCATAGAGCAGTGGTCGACTGCAGTTGTCGGACCGTACGGCTGAGAGCCGAGGACGGTAGCGACGTATCACTCTCCGGGGAAGTGTTTCCCAAGACTCCCGAGTTCATATCGTCCTTGAGCGCGAGGCGCTTGATTCGCAAGAAGTGCGAGATGTTCCTGTGTCACGTTCAGGATATGCGAAAAGAATCGCCACGTCAGCAGGACATTCGTACGGTTTGCGACTTCCCTGATGTCTTTCCCGAAGACCTACCTGGTTTGCCTCCGCCGAGAGAGGTAGAGTTCTCGATCAATATCATTCCGGGTACGGAACCCATATCTGCTACACCGTATCGTATAGCACCTGCCGAGATGAAGGAGTTGAAGGCTCAGTTGCAAGAGCTACTGGAAAAGGGATTCATCCGACCTAGCGTTTCCCCATGGGGAGCACCGGTGTTATTTGTTCGAAAGAAAGATGGATCCATGAGACTTCAATCGACTACAGGCAGTTGAACAAAGCCACAGTGAAGAATCGTTATCCGTTGCCTCGCATCGACGACCTGTTTGACCAGCTCAGAGGGGCTACAGTATTCTCGAAGATCGATCTGCGTTCTGGATACCATCAGATTTCCGTTAAGAGAGAAGACATTCCGAAGACTGCTTTTAGAACACGCTTTGGGCATTATGAGTTCTCAGTCATGCCTATCGGATTGACTAATGCCCCGGCAGTGTTCATGGAGCTTATGAACAGTGTGTTCCGACCATACTTGGACCAGTTCGTAGTAGTGTTCATCGATGACATCTTGGTTTATTCACGGACTCAGGAGGAGCATGCTAGACATTTGCAATTGGTTCTGAGTGTGTTGAGAGAGCACAAGCTGTATGCAAAATTGTCTAAGTGTGAATTCTGGTTGAGTGAGGTGACATTCTTAGGACATGTTATCTCTGCTACCGGTATCCAGGTAGACCCCAGCAAGATTTCAGCCATAGTGGATTGGAAGACTCCGCGGAATGTTCGTGAGGT